ACCTGAAGAGTCCCAAATGACAGAAAATAAAGATAATAAGATAATAAAATAAGCTTATGCCAAACTTTTTGAAGGACTGGGGCCTAAATTAATTATTTACTATGGAAGTAGTTCTGTGTTGATTTCTTTAGTTACTATTTTCATTACAAATGCACTGAAAGGTTTTTGTGCTTTGGGAAGCTCTAAAGATTTGGGCAGTATTTAGAAGAGTTACACTCAAACTTTACAATGTTACACCCACGTAACTAACACACACAGTGCACATACAGCACTGGATTGCTCTGCCGAGACCAAATACAAGGTAGTTGTGTTATTTCTACTTATTTTTCTGCTTACAGTGGTTCCCAAAGAAAAGTGAAACAAATCATCTTAATCCCCAGTTGCAGTAATTTACAGAATTATAGAACTCAAAGGCAAAGTTCAAAAAAAGAATATGCTGCTTTCTTAGATAATACAGCAGCTATTCTTCGGGATCTGCCTGCCTCTCTATTACCTACATTATGAAATAAAGAGATTATGGGTTAGAGAGGGATCTAATATAATCGTCTCACAAGGATTAACTATGATATTGTGGATTAATGTGATGTGTTTGTTCATCAACAGGATCCTGTCACTTGATCACAATCTGCAGATATATAAATGAATGAGTCAGGCAGTATCGGTCAAATATGTCCTTTTAAAGTAATAGAAATAATAGTTTACTCAGAGAACTGAAAGGGAAGAGAGGCTGAGTAAGCACTGGACAGACAAGAGTAGAAAGAAAAGTCTCTTTGGACTAGATCCTTTCTTGATTCTTATCAGCATGAATCAGAAATCCCTTCAGTTTAAAGCCATGGACTTGTGTGTGTGAAAATTCTGTGTATTTTTACCTCCTTGAAGTTGATATTAACACTTTCATTTGCAGAGACCCATCAGCATAAAAGCAGAGGAAAATCTTAGTATAAGAAGAGCAGGGAGGATACGTAACTAAGATATTTTCAATATAATGCAGTTTAATGTGTATGAGTGGGGCTTATGCAGGCCTTGCTTTAGCCTTGTCTCAAGAATGTTGCTGCATCATTGGCATGCTTCAACTTGTTGGAGATAAGATAATACAAACAACTTCGCAAACATTTTTTAGGACCCATCACTGCAGAATGAAAAGAGACCGAACCTCTGGCTTCTCTCAACAATTCTGCTATACCAGCAGCATGCTCCAATTTACCAGGTGTAAGACAACATGAACTAGTTCAGGAATTTATTTGGAACTGCAGAGTGAAATAAGGTCTTAGAATATGCCTTTAAGCACAGTTGGCATGTAATGACAGGTAAAACATAACTGACAGAAAAAAATTGAATTACTTTTCCTTAATTCACCTGGTTAAAAAAAAAAAAGCCAGTACCCTCTCTCTCGAGTATAAAAATGTTGACCAAACAACTGAAAAATATCTCTAGAAAAATACATAGCAAGGTTGGTTGGTTTGTTTTTTTAACAAAGAAATAAAATTCCTTCATTTCAGCTTATAATATATTTTAGGTGATGTGTTTTTTAATAGGAATTCTTATTCACTTGAAATGCAAAGTAAGAAAAGGTGATAAAATGTCTTAGAAAATGAAATGTGAGCTTTTGGCATCAAGAACAGAAAAAAATTAACTACTTTTATTTTCTTTTGATTAATTACTGAAACTATGTTAGTAAGCAGCATATTCTTTTACTAGTAATGTATTTACTCCAACTACATCAACTTTAGGAGCATATTCATATAAGGTTTTAGTAAACGGCTAACTAATTATAATTCTAAAAATTCTGTGATATGAGGCGTGATACAAAGTCACTCAAACTATGTAAAAACTGTGGTAGAAAGCAGGATGCTCTAAGGAAGATCAAAGACAAGAGGTGGTTATCCATGAATAAACTGTTGCTCCAGAATGACAGCTTTCCTGAATATGAAGAGTAAACATTAAAGCACTGCTGTTCAATAAAAAAAAAAAAGCATTTAAAAACTTACCTTCCTGCCATTCACAAAAAAGACAAGCCCATC